TGTGGACGCCCTTCAGGACGCCTTCGTGGCCTTCAATGCCTTTGCTTTGGCTTCAGTTTTGGGAGGGGCAGGGGCTTCCTTCTTCGCTTTCGGCGCCATCTTCGTAGAAAGGGAGCTTCAATTCTTATTGAAGGCTGCAGTCTTTGATCTTCTGCAGCAAGTGCTTCAGGTCCTCCTCAGTTTTTAACAAGCAGAGTTGTGTCATCTGCATTACACAGGTTGTTCATGAGTCCAATCCTGATGCCACATTCCTTCTCATATAGCCCAGCCTCCCAGATGATCTGTTTTGTATACAGATTGAAAAAGTATTGAGACAGAATACATCCCTCCCTTCCTGATTTTGAACCATGTAGTGTCTCCTTGTGTAGTAGATCATATATTCAGATAAAAATAGTGATTTTTGCAGTAGAGAATCATTGAGAAAGAAAAAAACTTCAGGAGATGGTCAAGTTTGATGTAATGACTGCAGCAATAGATTTAAACATGACAGTGATTGTGTGGATGGCTCAAGAGTGGACAGTGGTTCACTCATTTGTACAGAGGCTTATAACCAACCCAGCAGTACCTAATAGTGAGCAATATGAAATATAAATGTAACTTTAAAATTGTCTGTTAAAAGAATTTCCAGAAGGCATTCTTTTCATACATGTCAATCATATACCAGATTTTTTTTTTCATTATTATTATTTTTACGGTGTCTCTCTGGAAACTAAGGTGTGCCTGATACAGGCCATGGTCTTTGCAATCACTTGTTATGCATCAGAGAGTTGGACAGTGACTAGGGAGGATAGAAGGAGAATTGATGCCTTTGAGCTGTGGTGCTGGAGAAGAGTACTGAATTTTCCATGGACTGCCAAGAAAATAAACAGATCCATCCTAGAGAGGGTTAAACCAGGCTCCTCCTTGGAGGTGAGGATTCTGGGGCTTCGTCTGACATACTTTGGACATGTCGTAAGGAGAGACAGGTCCTTGGAGAGGGACATCATGCTTGGTAGGGTAGAGGGACAGCGCGGAGGGGAAGACCCTCTATGAGGTGGATTGATTCAGTGACGGGGTAATCAGGGTGGGTGTGTCAGAGGCAATGCGATTGGCAGAGGATAGAACAGGGTTTAGGGCTGTTGTACATAGGGTTGCTATGAGTCACAAATGACTCAACAGCACATAACAACAACAACAACATATATATTTTTTACTTGGGCACAATTATAGCCATTTCTACTGGGTGACTTAAGCTGTCAAGCATAGGATAAAGTATCAGGGCAAAACTCATGCCTGTTCACTCTGTGTGGTCATGGAGAAACAAAAATTTCTTTCCAAAATTGTGTTGCTTATTTTTAACAGGAGTCATACAGTGGAGAAGCTCTGTGAAAATATGGAAGACAGTCAATATGAGAAAACTTTCAGCTTGATTTCAAATCTTCCTGTGCTAAAAAGAAATTCTCCAGAAGGAAATCCTTTTGAATGCTGTGGGTATAGAAAAACCTTCATGGATCAATTATCACATAAGCATCATTCAAAATCTCAAACTGTATGCAGACCCTGCCAATGTAAGGAATGTGGAGAAGCCTGCATTTGTCCCTGTCACCTAACCACTCCTGTGAAAATACATACTGAAAAGAAATCCCATAAAGACAATGTATGTGGCAAGGATTTCATTTGTAGTTCAGCTCTTGAGAATTCTGTGACAAGACACACTGGTGAGAAACGCCATGAATGTAATATATGTGGGAAGGATGTCTGTGGTTTTTCATCCTTTTGGACACATGTGAGAGGTCAGAAGTGTGAATATGAAGAATGTTGTAGGACCTATTGCCATCCTTCACCCCTCATTTTACATAAAAAATTTCCTAACAGAATTATGCCTTATGAATGTAAACAGTGTGGGAAAGCCTTCAGTCGTTCTTCAGGCCTCACCAGACATGTAAGAATTCACAGTGGAGAGAAGCCTTATGAGTGTAAGCAATGTGGGAAAGCCTTTAATCGATCCTCACACCTCTCTGAACATACGAAAACTCACAGTGGAGTGAGGCCTTATGTGTGTAAGGAGTGTGGAAAAGCCTTTATTCAGGCCTCTCACCTTACTACACATTTACGAACTCACAGTGGAGAGCGGCCTTACGAATGCCAGCAATGTGGCAAAGCCTTTAGTGAGGCCTCATCCCTCACTCAACATGTAAGAAGTCACAGTGGAGAGAAGCCTTACGAATGTAAAGAATGTGGGAAGGCCTTTAAGTGTTCCTCACACCTCACTAAACATATAAAAACTCACAGTGGAGACAGACCGTATGAGTGTAAGGAGTGTGGGAAGGCCTTTACTGAGGCTTCATCTCTCACTCTACATTTAAGAAGCCACAGTGGGGAGAGGCCTTATGAATGTAAAGAATGTGGAAAAGCGTTTAGTCAATCATCAAATCTCATTACACACATAAGGACTCACAGTGGAGAGAGGCCTTATGAGTGTAAAGAGTGTGGAAAAACCTTTAGGTGTTCCTCACACCTCACTGAACACATAAGAACACACAATGGAGAGAGGCCTTATGAATGCAAGGAATGTGGGAAAGCCTTTAAGTGTTTGTCTGCCCTCACTACTCATACAAGAACTCACACAGGAGAGAAGCCCTTTGAATGTAAAAAATGTGGAAAAGCCTTTAGCCGGGCTTCATCCCTCACCACACATGTAAGAACTCACAGTGGGGTTAAGCCTTATGATTGTAATCAGTGTGGGAAAGCATTTAGTTGTTCTTCAGCCCTCACTACACATGTAAGAACCCACACTGGAGAGAGGCCCTATGAGTGTAAGGACTGTGGCAAAGCCTTCAGCTGTTCCTCATCCCTCACTACACATACACGAACTCACAGTGGAGAGAAACCTTTTGAATGTAACGAATGTGGGAAAGCCTTCAGCTGTTCTTCATCTCTCACCACACACATACGGACTCACAGTGGAGAGAGGCCCTATGAATGTAAGGAGTGCGGGAAAACCTTTAGTCAGTCATCAAACCTCACTACACACATCAGGACCCACAGTGGGGAGACCTGATGAGCATTAAGGGACGTAGTGTTAAGGCATTCCTCACATTCCACGTCCTGTGTAAGAACTCAAAAACGGGGACACTGCCCTGTATCATAAGTAGAATATTTCATTCTTACAGCTATCATTTCAAACATGATCTTTACCAAATTCTAGAATTAAGAAAAGAAAAAAAATATTCTCAGTGGGTACAAACTCAGAACGGGTAATGGAAATGGATATATGGGCTGTGCTTAAAATATTTTTCTAATTCAGATAAGGCTGCAGTCAGTAGTCTTGAGTAAATGTGTTTTTATATTTTTAAATATGCTTTATTGATCTTATTTTGTATACAATAAAATAAACTGATTTTATATTTACTTTAGTAAGTGTTTTTTTGTTTATTTATTGCACTTCTTTTCATTCTTTCCTGTGGAAAAGTGAATGTCACTGTTAGTAAGTTTCTCATAGGGTAATAATTTGAGACTGCAAATATTTTGTTTTACATCAACATAAGCTTACTAACTTTAATACTTACAACTATTTACTAGTCATTATTGTGGTATTTAACAAATGATATTTTAATAATTTGTTTTTTATGAAATTTTAGAAGGAACAGCTTTCCCATTTTATTTAATCATGCCAGTGTATTACCTTTTTTTGCTCCTCTCTTTCCTAGATCTGTTGTAGATCTTGAAGGTGTTTTCTCCTCTCCTTTTTAGATTTGTTCTATATTAGTTCATTACAAATCCTCTAA